CTGATCTAAACCCGTAGCTCTAAAAAGTACTTAGCTGTGGCAGATCGTGCAATAATCGGCAGTTAGGAGCCACGCAGTTACGGTTGTGGTAGTAATGGTGGTTGTGGTGGTAGTAGTGGGTGGGTGGTAGGTGGTGTTGATGGGTGGGGCTGGCGAGGAGGCAGGGGCGACTGTGTGGGCGTGGGTGGGTGGCGGAACTAGTGGCAGGCGTGGGTCTGTGGGCGGCAGTTAAGGAAGGTATGAGCCAAGCCTCAGTAACATCTTCCCACTGCTGGTGGTAGTTGTGGTGGTGGTGGTAGTTGTTGTTGTAGTGGTTGTGGTGGCTGCTCGCGCCCAAGAAAATGACAGATGGTACTTGAGAAAACGTACAAACAGCGACTAGAAGATGGAAGGGGAGAGTGGATGTGGAGTGCGGAGGTGGAGGGGAGGGAGGGGGGAGCAGGAAGGGAAGAGCAAGAGTATATGTGACAAAAGGAGATAAAGAGTGGACGAGGAATATGATCCAATGGGATCCTAGAGTGGACATGAAACAGGGGGGCACTAGGAGCCCAGAGTACGCAGGAAACACAGGGCAAGGTGACCTGGAGTGCACAGGAAACACAGGACAAGGTAACCTGAAGTGCACAGTGATAAGGGTGAAGGAAAAAAAAAGTGAAGATCAAATTTATAAAAACGACGTTTCGCTTTGTTTAAAGGGAAACGGTGTCATAGAAAGCTTGACCTGCACCTGTCTCTTTTCTTCATCACAAACATGGAACCTGAAATAGGCAGGTAACAAAGGGTCCGGAACACTTGTAAGATACAACTGTATCCTGAAGTGCACGAGGAACACCAGGCAGAGAGATCCCTAGTAGCACAGAATCTGAAATCTCCAGCGTATGAGGGACATGGAATGCTTTCAGGATACAAGGAAGACGATTACACACGTAGCAAGGAATCCAGAATGGGAAGGAGAAAAAAAAAAGATCTGGAATCTAAAGTGGACTAGGAACAAGGAATGTGCTATGTGTCGGCATGAAGATTTACAGAGTTTGAAATAGACATAACGAAAGATAGCAGATCTACAGTAAGGTGTGAAAGGGACAAGTTAACTAGATTCAGAGAGGATTTTTGACAAGTTACTTGGAATGCGCAGATGAGTAACGAACTTTTGGAGTGGTTATGGGAAGGCATTGAAAATGGGAGGCACGGGAAAAGAAAAAAAAACGGCAACAGCCATGGCGTACCGAAGGGACAAGAGACATGAATCTAGAGTGAGTGTAGGCAAGGGCAATGAATCTGAAATTCGCAGGAATAAAAGAAGAAACGACCTGAACTTCGCTGGGAACAAGCGGTAATATAAATGGAATGAGCAGGGAGCAAGTGGTAAGATAAATGGAATGAGCAAGGAACAAGGGGCAAGATAAATGGAATGAGCGTTTAACAAAGAATAATATATATGGAGTGGGCGGGGAACAAGGGGTAAGATATATCAAGTGGGCGAGGAACAAAGGGGAAGATATATCGAGTGGGCGGGGAACGAGGGTTAATAAACCTAGGAAGTGATGAGGAGACACTTTGTAAGTGGTCTAGAAAAGTCAAGGTATGGGGCCTGAAATGCATCAAGGAAAATAGGCGTAAGAGAATATTATAGGCCGGAACCAGGAAGTAAAAAGATCTGTTGCTACAAATATCCAAAGTGGATCACAGGGAATCAGACACACAGAAGGAAAGGGAACCAAGAATGCGAAGTATAAAGGGGTGTACAAGGGTAAAGATTGGCACATAACAAATGGGCAATCATCGTAATATTTTCAAAACATTAATCTATCCACTGACATGTTCATAAACAACTAATTAGCAAAAACAAAGACTGAACAGCATAGTATATATTTATATCTGTAATAATTTAAATCTATATATCAAGGTTTAAATTTTAACATTTTGTACATTAACTTAATAGAAAGACACTGTCATGAACTATTTATTTTGATTAGAATACTTGAAAATGCGATGCTTTATGGTTATATAAAGATAACTGAAGGATCTAATTTTGAAAATATCGTCCTCCTGACTGTTTATTTATTGTGGAACTTTAAACAGAATTTTAAAGGTCAAGGGAAAAGTTTGAATATTATAACCCACAATGTTAACCCCCATGATTTATTTGTTATGGCAGAAAAACATGGGAGTTTAGTGCTCGTCCTGAGTTCTAAAATAGTACTCTATCAGCAGGTGTAGGATATCATCCCATTAAACCGGCGAAATTTAATAAAGCAACAAGATGACTTAAATTAGGAATACAGCTCTTCTTAAAAAAATCTTTTGAGTAAAGTTGAAAAATACAAAGATGAAGCATAAGAGACGCTTCCAACTGTTTTTGAGCATTAGTAAGGCGCTCAGACAGCCTCAACTGTCTCGGACGGAGCATTAAAAAAAAAAAACTCCTCCAATGTATCTTAGATCATGAAAAAAAGCGATCCAACTGTTTTAGACGAGGCATAAGAGAGAGGCACCCCAACTATGTCTTAAACGGAGCCTAAGAGAGGCACCCCCAACTATGTCTTAGACGGAGCCTAAGAGAGGCACCCCAACTACGATGATTTGAGATACTTGTGAAACACTTGGATATCAGTAAACATACCCAAGTGTTGCACAAGTCTCACTCTACACCCCAACTGTGGCTGGAAATCAAGAATGAACGACTGGTACATGTTACTGTCAACTATAAGGAATGGGAAGCGTAGATTATGAGGAAAAAATATCCAAGTCACTTGTAAAATAGAGATGCAATTCCAGAGGGATTTTGAGATTTGAGAGAAAGCAATTGAGGTTGGTGATGGATCTAAGAGAATGTCTGTATATATCACAGTATAATCTATCTTGAACTTAATGGCATATAAACCCCGGAGCGGGGAATACGAGGCCAAAGTCGACGCGAGAATACCGAAATTTAGTGCTTGGTGTTCCAGACATCGACAGTGTGATAAGGACGTTGCTCAAGGCAACTGGTGAATACTGAAAGAGGACCTGGGACCTGTTCTGGGTCATAAAGCAGGACCTGAGTATGTCAGGGCTTCGGATAACAAATAGGGAAAGGATGTTTTATCAAGTACACTCTACAGGAGACTCTGGCCTCAGTGAATTTCTGAGCAGAGTACGGTATTACAGACAAGTAGCAAGCTGAGCAAGGTTCAATAATTATGTTAGTGCCTGACCCTCCGCTTTTCCACGGGAATCATCACTGAGGTTATGGCATACTCACCTCGCCCATGGAGCTTGTGACGGACTGTTGACCGTGAAGTACATCTTAAAAGCATAACCAGCTTTAGTTTATAATCGCCGAAGTGTCTGCAGAAATCTCAGTGATATTTTATGAGGATCTTTTAGTTTGGTTAACCTTGTGGCATTCTGGATTAATAGTGTTCTTTTTAAACCTTTTATGATTTGCTTTATTTATTGGATTAATGTTTGGTATTGTTACTTTACTTGTATTATAGTTATAGTGAGTATGAATGCTGTATGTTTAATATGTAGAACGCTGAGTGACTTTTCTGGTCTCGGCACTTTGAAACCTCAACGTTATTATATTCTGTGAGAAGCGAAAAGCTCGTGTGAGTCACAGCGCTTGGGGAACGGAAGGTATTCAGATTTGAAGCGAAGAGAAGGGACAATTCCAGTTCCTTTAATCAGCATGAAGAACACACGTTGAACGGTGTAAACTTCCCACCCGCGCTTCTTTAATGGCAACCACAGATGTAAGGAAGATTCGAGGTATTAATACAATGGTAGAGTATATAGACAGTATGTAAATAAGAGATACTGAATTGACAAGTCTTCACAATAAAATGCCATAACCCGCAGTGTGTCTCGTTTACATTCTAGGGGAAGAGGAGGAGGAGGCTGTGTCACCGTGTAGAAAAAGTCCACGAGACGTGCAACACAATACAGACGTGTTGCACAACGCCATGAAGCTTGCAACACACCGCAGAGGTGTTGCAACATACTACAGACGTGTTGCACCGCACCGTGAGACATGCAGTACACTACAGATGTATTGCACCACACCATGAAACGTACAACAAGATACAGACATGTTGCACCTCACCATGAGATGTAGAACACACTTCAGGCGTATTGCACGAGTATATGTGACTATGAACACTAGTAATGTACATATATTATGCCACAAAGAATCGGTCATTTCAACAGCTGCAGAGACCACGACACAACAGCAGAAATATTTTGAATTTGTTCTGGTTTGTGAGCCGGATGAGAAACATTATGAGAATGTTATAAACAATTCCTAGCTAAAAATTAATGTTAAATTCTAAATATTTTAGCATACTGAGCAAGAAAAAATCCTTAAAGGATCATAATTATGAGGACATTCGGGTAAGGCAAGGGAGACTAAAAGATATCAGAATATGGGTTGCAGTGTGCACTTGAGCACAAAGTGGGTAAACCTCGGCAAGACAGACCAAAGGCAGTTTCACATTGAGTTGCATTGTGCATTTAGAGCACATCCTGATCAAAGCACAGCAAGGCAGAATAAGGGAAGGGGGGGGGGTTATCACATTATGAGTTTACACTGAGAATGTGATGATAGAAGAACAATAATTGACAAGAAACAGTCACGAGGCGTGGTATAACAAGGTGGCTCCTCCACAAAGCTTATGAATAATGACTGGGCTACTGTGGTACATTTTTCAGGTTCAAGCAATCCGAAATATTGAAAAATATTCGTCTTGGAGGGGGGGAGGGTTTATTTACCCATGCCAGGGACTCTTGTGTGTTAGATCTCTTTTATTTATTTAACTTATGTTTGATGACTTACGCTAACCATGCATAGTGACACAAAAATATATGGAGTTTCTGCTAGATTTCAAACTACTACATCCAAAATAACTACGCTAATAAAAACTGAATTTTATATCAATGCTATATAAAGATATGCTACTATTTTTACGACTACACATTCTACCGATTTTACTTTTTAACATTACATAAATACAACTTACTTCTCTCTCTCCTGTATGTTGGTCGTACCGTTGTCTAAGCAAGCAGGAGGGGGCAAGGGAAAGAAATGCACTAGTTTAAATTTGAGGCTGCTGGGAGTTGCACTGGGAAGACCCCTAATGCCAGGTGTTCATGTGTGTGTAGCCGTGTTGTAGGCTGTTCATGAGACACTGTGTGCTGTTAGTGTGCAAAATATCACCATGACTCATGTGCCACTCCTCCACACCCATGGCTACTGAAATAATATTCAATATAGTATACGGTGAAATATCTCTCTCTCTCCTCGGTATTTTATTTAAAAAAAAAAAAGAAATCCACTAACGTGTAAGGAAAATGTAATTCTAAGTATAACAGCAACGGGTGAGTAAGGAGTGACACACCAGAAGAATATTAAGTTTGCTGTCACTGCACTAGCTGAGGTCACACTATACACCACTCTCATGCACTAAGACCGCTTCATTATAACAAAATGTGTGGTTCTAGTCAGCCTACTGGTTATACTGCAGGTGGCTGACCCATCTACAACAATTAACACATTTTAGCGTGCCATTACATTAAACTTGCAAAGTGGAAACATTAAACACTGGGAAAACATTACAAGAAAACATTTTGTTAAAAACTATTAAAAAGTTGAAGTGAAAAAAAATGCAGTCATTAAAAAATGTAAAAACAATTAGTAATAAATAAATAAATATATATATATATATATATATATATATATATATATATATATATATATATATATATATATTACACAAATTAATATTAAAAAACAAGCAGATATATATTTTTGTTTTAGGTTCTAGCAAGAACCACACATTGTTAGTTTGGTGGGCCTTACTAGTACTACGCTCCACACGATGATAATTTTCAAGACTAACTAACCCCACGAGCATCCTGCTAAGCTTGTATTTTACATTATAAATATGGATCAGTTTGATGAATACGACACACTGACATCACATACCTATCTTTATTGCGAAAACGATACGCCTGCGCGGGAGGCTTCTACAGTTAAATGTAGACGAAGATAAGATTGGAGACTTAAGAGTAATATATCTGTCTGTTTTCTACTGAGTAAACCTGCGCTGGCGAATCGTTTCCGTAATATACTCAGGTGTTGCCCATGTCTCTTATTCATCAACTTGTTGCTATGGTATACTATGAATAATATAATGGATCAGGTTCTTGGTATCTTACAAATAAATAAGACTCCTGAAGCTCTCCATTAATGGTTTTGGTTGTATATTTCAGTTGGTGGTACCTTAGGCTACGATGCGCCCAGGTCTCTACACTAGACTAAACATGTTAAGACATTCAAAACTAAATATCTATAGTATATAAAACATGGATCCAGCATCTAAATTTATATCCCATTTTATTTAAATTTAGAGTAAACATAGACAATGCAAATGCTTTCAGTCTAGAGACTCCTCAGGCGATACTAAACTAGTAATAACTATACCCTTATCAATATAGAGAAAGTTACTTAAAAAAAGAGCACTGAAGTAGGTCTACCATCAACAGAACAAAAGGTTAGTCTTCTTCAGTGTTAATTTTTCGCATGTATCAGAGTTGTTTGTACATATCGCCTTTGGAGGGTCCCCTAGTCAGACTGACAACATTCGCGCTAGTTCTATATTGTGGAATGTTGGTTATTCTTATGCAGTATGTTGCCCCATATGGTACGTGTATGTTTAACTCACATATACTGTATATATTACATATAAATACATATGCAAATGTGTGTATATATATATATATAATTATATAAATATATATATATATATTTATATAATATATATATATATATATATATATTATATATATATATATATATACACACTATTGTATATGTTAGATAAGACAATAGGAAGAGCGAGTTAGTGGTACTTACATTTTCCGGCTTGTCTTTGTCTGCGGCAGATGACGATGATGACGACGCAGATGATAAGGACAAGCACGATGACTGCTGCGACGATGGCCGAGATGACGATTATGTTGTCGTCTCCCAGCTTCTCCATGATGCCTGCGACGCCTAATATTGTATACACGCACACGTGGAGAGTCAGGTTAGTAAAAGTTAGTCTCTTAGGCGGATTATGTTAGAGAGAGAGAGTGTTATAATTATAAATGTAATAAGCAACTATTTTGTTTGGTTATTACTTGGATAACGAAGTGGTTGCCATTGATTTTTTGACATCTTCAAGGTTTTTGTTGATAACTTGAGAACGTCTGATTCGATGGACTTTCAAGTTTTCACACCGCTGGTTTACAGTAACCAGGTTCACGTAACTGTTATCAGGTTCAAGTTCCCTCTCGTCAGTCTGGTATGGTCCCTTGCAGGTTTGAGAACTCCACGCGGTAACTTAACGTCTCGATCGATTGGCTTCAAACTTCAAACACTTAGTGTATCCTACTTAGAAGGTTGAGATTGTTATTGGAGAGAGTAGGTGCCAATTTGCCAATATTATTTTTAAAATGTGATATTTAATTCAGTTTATTAACTAAATTAAGTTTCTACTAAATGATTTCAATCTTTAATGGCTGAAACATCTAAAATGAATAATACTGTATGTATTTAAGGTATGTAGGCGAAGTTTTGTTCATTTTAATAATTTAATAAATTCGGAATGGATGAATTCAATGAGATAACTGGAGAATGTTTTTTTTTTTTTTTTTTTTGTCGACTTTAAATTTTTTAGTGATGGTGTATTTCTCAACGTGAAATCAGCGTTGATTTTGGAATGTGTAAGTTTTAATTTGTCATTATCATTACACATCTTCGTTTCTGTACAGTAACTGGAGAATGTTTCTTCTGATTAACTTCAATAACTTTAAACGTTGGTGTATTTTCGAAAGATGTAGATTAATTTTGGGCTGTGTAGGATGCAATTTATTATTTTTAAGAAATTAGTAAAACTGAAAAACTGATTTTCTTGGTATAATTTGTGAATGCTTCATTCTATTTGTTTAAAACCTTCAGCGCCAGTAACTTGATATCTCTGCGACAACTAGAGAAAGCCTCTTCTTACTGGCTTTAACTTCAGAAGCTGGTGCATTTTACTTAGCGGAAGGTTCCAATTGTTTTTGGGCTGTGTAGGTGCCAATCTTCCACTTTTACTGAAGACACAGGATACTAGTTTCCACGTGATAATTTATGAACGTCTTTTCTTGATTATCATCGGTTCTTCAGTGCTGATATTTAACCGCATTAGAAAATTTTACCGCACCTTGCATTATTCCTATTGCAGCACTGAGGTACAGGGGACTGCATGGTACAGGGGACTGCGGGTGTGCAATGCGGGACTAAATTTCTTTAATCGAGCAGCGACTGAAACATGTCTAGAATTTTAAATATCTTATTTAAATACATGCACAAAGTATTTAATATGCCGTGTTAACAAATATTTTACAGACCACCTGGTCTATGTACAAGTGAATTGAAAACATGCAATCAAAAATTAGGTACGTTTAGTTTAAGACTATAATCCATGGTAGTGATGGATGACTTAGAGCAGCAGGTTACTAATCTTTGAGTGTATTAGACAAGTTATCCCTGTACGTAAATGCAAAGCTAGTTAGTTTCAAGGAGAGTTATTGAGGTAGCTTGTCTCCCGCAGGCAGATGCAAGATCAAGCCTCCACTACTACTTGCGCTGAGTGACCCCACTGGGGTTTAAAGATTCACATAAAAACTAAAATAATAAAAATGCTAAATGCTTTAGATGGGTATTAAGGTAAACTTTAATTGTAAGTTAACATGTGGTAGATTCATGGCAGATATTGCTTTGTGATTACAAGTAGAAAGAAGAATGCAAACTTATATATATACGTATATATTATCCCTCACTTTTACCTCTCCCCAATTCTCCCTCTTCACTGACACCTATCCTGATACGTCCTTGTCTAACACTCTCACTTCCCCAGCTCTCGCCCCTTCCTGGCTATCAACCCCTCCCTGGCCATCACCCCTCCCTGGCCATCAATCCTACTTGGCCATCACCCCTCTCTGGGACCTGGACTGTATCAGTGTACTGTGATGATAGTAACAATGCTGACTTGTACCGTGTCTCAGGATATATACAGTCACTGTCCTCTGGATATACACAGTCGCTATCCTCTGGATATACACAGTCGCTGTCCTCTGGATATACACAGTCACTGTCCTCTGGATATACAGTCACTGTCCTCTGGATATACACAGTCACTGTCCTCCTGGGTATACACAGTCCTGTCCTCTGGATATACACAGTCACTGTCCTCTGGATATACACAGTCACTGTCCTCTGGATATACACAGTCACTGTCCTCTGGATATACACAGTCACTGTCCTCTGGATATACACAGTCACTGTCCTCTGGATATACACAGTCACTGTCCTCTGGATATACACAGTCACTGTCCTCTGGATATACACAGGTGTTCTACATGTTATCAGTTTATCACACTTGTGAAAGTTGACAAGTGTTTTGAAAATAGAATGAAATTTTAAGTGATTTTTTCTTGACATTCAATTCGTGTTTTTTTTTTTCCATCATTCCCCCCGCCAGGCCTAATCTGACTCGAGATGCCGGTGAAAGTCTCTCGATCCAAGGGCATAGAGCTACCTGGTTCTTAGACTCATACTCGAGTGCCTATCATTAATTAGCACAATCTATGTGTGGATCCTTACGGGTTTACCGTTCCCCCATCATTATAACGCCTCCCCTTTACCTCTTTCACCATCGTCCTCTCACCAGGTTCCTCCTTTCATCACATCCCTTTCCATCCCTCTCCTCGCCCCTTACCTATCCTCTTCATCCTATCCTTTTCTCTCTCTTACCCGACCTCCTTAAACCTCCTACCCGACGTCCTAACCCTCCTACCGTCCTCCTTAGCTTTCTACCCCCCCCCCTTAACCTCCTATCCGAGATCCTAATCCTCTTACCCATTCTCTTTAACCTTCTACCCGTTCTTAAGCTATCCGAGATCCTAACCCGTTCTCCTCAATCTATCCCCCCTACCCGCCTGCCTCTTCCCCTACTCACCTGTGACATCAATCTCACAGGGGATTGATTCTCCGATAGTGTTGTTAACGTAGCAGTAGTACGTCCCAAGCGACGCCGCCGTCGCTGGTAGACGCAGACGGGACTCCAGTCCTTCCGATGTCACCTCCGACGTCAGCGTCTCGTTCAGCATCCTCCATCTGCGTCGAGGAGACAGGTGGTGAGTGGAGGGAACAGGTGGTTGTTGCATGCGTGTAAGTCAATCGGTTTTCATATCCATAAAAAATATAAACACAAAATAAAAGAAAATTTACAAACGGTAAAAGCAATGAACATAAACACTCCACACAGATAAATACTATCATACCAAGTTAATATAACCAGCATCATTTAAAAAACCTATTAAATGATTAATGTCAAAAAACACACTTAAAGTTTCCCCGAGGTCTATACAGGCACCTCTGTAATTACAAAAACCACGAGGAAAGCGGAGAGGCCTAAGCCGAGCGACAACTGCTAAAACATGTTTCAGTTGCTGGAACGTCGCATCCTACATACACTGGAACAGGAGCACCTGCAAACAGGTGGCTGTGGGTGACATGTCTGATCCTCAGTCGACAGAGATTCATCTTAGTGGTGATTCCTGTTGAAGGAGGGCGGTTAAGCACGTCCTGCCGAACTCCGTATAACTGGTTACTGGTATACAGGGCCCATTGGACCAGTCACTTTCCAAGGACATATCTGTGGATATGGCCCATAAAGTCACTAAAGTAAAATTCTACTTTAGAGTGAGCTCGCTACAGCAGAAGCGTTTTCCTCGCCATCCACACGTTCATTTCTTAGTGCACTGATCCACATCCTTGGGCCACGTGGGGAGACGCACTAACTACTAATTGGATCTTTTCGGACCACAGAGTGTGGCTAGAAGCAGACAGAGCAAATTTGGGAATCCGAATATAGAGTGAACCGAGAACCAACTCGACCAGCTCTCAAGACAAGAGCAGCAAGGAAAAAAACAGTATGAGGATCCACAATTACGTCTTACTAGCAGGGTCAGAGTCCGGTACAAGCCTCACAATATGAGGGAAGGCCGTTAAATTTATTTTTCGTTTTCCATCTTCCATACTTTGATAGTTATTTTGCGCATCTTAGCAGCTTTGTACTTAGACGCATTTTACTCAATATAATCAAGGTAAGCGCTAAACCTGAAATAGTTACACAACGCTGCAGGAAGGGGTGTGGAAAAAGAAAAAAGGGACCCGGTGG